CCGTTGCAACGGTTCTACTTCTAGTAACCAGGGTTCGGCATTACAGCCTTGTTAACCCTTTGACGACAATGCCGATTTCGACGTGACGTGCCCACGGGACCACGCCCCTTCCTTTCGTGCGCGCCAGGAGGAACTCCTTCCTTTGGCTTAATAAATTTAGCAATATTTCCGCATAACAGAAACATCAGATCTTATTTGATCTCATATTAAACTGAGGCTTCGAATTGCATTTCGGATTTGGAAGCAATGTAGATTAGAATTTCGGTGATAGTAGAAGCGGTAGCAATTCGTATAACATCAAAGATACTTGAGGATGAAGAGATCCAACACGCGGTCACATACGCAAATAAGGTGTTCTAAGAACTGCCTCCAATGCTTCCAAGACACACAAAAATTTTGCCAAAGTATCTAAACTTTTTCTGTACTACTCAATCAACTACATCGTAAATACCGAAGACGTTAGGATTTGAACGGTAGGTGGCCTCTCTTAGGTCCCTTATATTCTCTTATCAGTTATTATCGGTTCCTGTCACCGAGTACCTACGATCTGTTATATCCTACATCACTTATTAAAATTTCAAGGATCCACTACCAAGACGGAAATTGGAATCCTCCAAATCTCAAACGCTCTAGGTCCACGTAAACAGGAGTCGCAGTCCAAAATTTCTATCGCGAACGCCCCTCCCCCTGCAAACGGAGTCCGGTACACGTAACACCACCATAAGTGTTCCCATTCTGCCCCCCGTACACCTATAAGGTTTGAACGCTCTTGGTCTACGGTGACAGGAGTTATGAATTTCCGGTCGAACACACACACCGGCAAACCAACAGACACACTTGCGAATTATATATAGTAGGATCTTCTGGTCTCTAGTGTGATTACAGGCTAACAAGGAGTTTAATCTGTTCAACAGATCACTTGGGTCTGGGTCTTATGCCTGGGGTTCGTATTTAGACCGAGGGATATCTCCTTTGCCCGCCTTCGATCAACCTCGGTTAGTTGCTTTGCCCAGACTGACCTGTTACAGGGTGCGGCAATAGTTCTGGCAACGGTAAGTATGACCGTAAAAATGGTCAAGTCGATCGATACATGATACAACTCCAACGGTATTTATCAACAGCTATATAGATCACAAAAACAAACTAGATCACGAAATAGCCTCCTTTTGCGCGAGAACAGGCTGAAAGTTTCCTAGCAAATGTGTCGACGGCGGCACGGAGGTAGCCTTCGTCCAAATCCTCCCATGCTTCAACAAGGGTTGCACGTAGAGCATCTGAACTTCTATGCTTAGTAGAGCAGGCTTTTGTTTTAAGAAGTGACCACACGGAATAGTCCAATGGATTTAGGCTTGGACTGTTTGGGGGGCCAATCGCCCGACGAGATGAAGTCTGGGAAGTGCGTTGCGCACCAGTCCTGTACCACCTGTGTGCTGGAGCTGAGTCCTGTTGATAAGTCCATGTCCGGTTGCCGAAATGGATTTTTGCTCAGGAGAGTTTCTCCTTCACCAAAACGACATTTAAGTAGGTCTTGCTATCCACCTTGACCCCTTTCTAGTAGAAAATCAGGGGCATCTTGTCGTCCGATGTGACTGCCCCAAAAACCATCAACGACTTATGGTGTGCAGATAGCGGAGCAATCCCTCCATGTTGGCTGACTTCTGCAGGGCTTCCCGCTATCACCCATCGCTTTGGGTGCTCAGGGATTGATCTGTTGAAAACAGACATTCGTCAGTGAAAAGAATGTTGCTGTGCCGTGCCTGCGAAAATCGCTTTAAAAGCTCCTTACATCTTTGAGCCTAGATTTCTTCACATGCATGTGAGCTTTTCCAATCTTATAACAGCGAAGTCTGTTGTACCTGTTGACGTTGTTGTACATGGTTCCTACGGGGATCAGGGCTGATTGAAGATGGTCTTTGCCGTGCATCCAGCAAGGTGTAGGTGCAGGACGGGGGCTCGTTGGTCTTTGCTTGTCACCACTGTGTAAAATGGCATATTCAAGAACGGCCAATTCATGGAATGTATAGAAGAAGACTTGCAGTAAATAATGGCACAGATCCTGTCGAGATCGAAGGCATCATTTTTTAGAGAGAACCTGAAACGGGCCTTTGCCAGAACTTTTGCCGCACCCTGTATTTGCACTGAAATGTGACATTTCGGTAAATGTGGCTGTTGTGCTCACTAATATGTAAGACATAAGTTCTGGCAAGCACTGGTTTGACGTACAACGGATCTCGTAAATGTTCTTTGAATCACTGGAATCTCTGGTCTGCGGCAGTACCGCTGACCAAAAATGTTGAATTAGTTGGTAATTGGTAATCAATAGGTACCAGACTCATCTGGGAGGATAAAAGCACTGACTTGTACATCGACTGACCACCGCAAGTTATTGAATAGGCCGCATACGCAGGCATTACGCCACTACGGAGAGCGACTCACGCAAAAAGACCCTATCCCTTTCAGTAACCACCCTGTTTACTAACCTGCCTTCCTCGTTTCCGTGATTATAGCATTTTCCTTGCTTTCTTTGGGCTTGGTAACTCATGCTACGATTATGCTTTCGCGTCTTGGTATTTTTTACGTTTGTGTCTTGTTTTCTTTTAACTACTAAACTTTTACATCCCTTTTCATTGCAGACAAGTTGTTGGCGCACCCGTGTGCAAGAGTAAAAAAAAGAGCAATTGGATAAATAAATGGCGACAATCAAATGATACTGCTCAGATACCTGTTCAGCATCATCAACCCGGGCATCCAACTTGCTTGACTTATATCCTTCATTTCTAGCTCGGCGACGTTGAGGAGAAATAATCAGCTATAACATACAAATAAGAGTTAGAGGTAAGATTGCAAATAGTTCCGACTCGTAGAAAAAAGCGAATAACTTCATAATTTTCAGTTATAATTTGTTAATAAGGAAATCTTAACGAAGGAATAAAAGGACTAACGCGCTCAGCTCTCTGTTCTAGGTCGACCACAGCAGGTGGAGTTGCCGCAACAACTTCGACACTTCGGCTTCTCTTCGCCTCTTCCTGAGCAAAATTTTTAAAGACTGCTGCGCAGTATCTGTCTTCAAAATTTATGAAGAACGACAACACCAAGGGAAGAAAACGTGAAGCAATACAACTGCTCACCCCTTGCGAAGCAGATTGTGAGGTGTAATGATTATTCAGTCCTGCAGCGATGGTATCTAGGAGCATTTTGTGCAGGCGGCGTCCGTCACTTCGTTCATCGTTTTCAAGAAATCCATTACGACGCTCATCGCGAAGGCGCTTAAACGTGCACGAATAAGTTGGCATTGACGACAGTTCCTTTTTCACTCCCGAATTTGCAAAAAATCAAATTCACATTCTACCCTTTAACAATTTGCAGGGCTTTCAGATATCGTTTTTGCCCTGAGAGAGGTCTATAATCAATTATACGACAATAAAAAAGAAAAAGTTTGTTAGGCTCAAACGTTTTATCGCAGTACAACCCAATTAGCCACTGGGCTACAACGCTTTCGCCCAACTACTTCACCAGTTTTATGTAAAGGCAGAAGCAAAAACAAGCCTTGACTTGTTAGCACTTACGTCGCGACGTTCACGATCGGACTCAAGAGACCAATAATCAGGAACATATTCTTCTGGTCTTCCACGTTCCAGAACTCTCGTACGAGCATCTGCGGTGCGCTTTCGATGAGCGTTGCTCTGCTGTTGCGCTAGACGATGCTGTCGAATCTTACGCTCCATAAGCGAAGAAGTTCCAAAAAGAAACACATTTTGAGAAACAAGAAAAAATATACAAAAGCGTTGCAGGACAGCACGACAGCAATCAAACAGAAGTGGCTAGATCGCATCACGAACTTTCCTAGAGTTCGTCTCTCTTCCATATCAGGTCTATGAATGCGTGATTGAGATGTTGTGGGTGAAAAAGCATCACACTGGTTCATCTTGCTCTGCAAAAAGTAACAATGAGCAATCCAAATGACCAGATTACAGTCCAACTAACCGAGCCCGCTTCCATCAGCAACTTATCAAAATCAACGTCTTGAGCTCCCTCATGAATTAATTTCTCCAACATGTCTCCGAACTCATTTACCACCCTTGCAATTTTATTATGGAACTCTTCAGAAAGTTCTTTGACGAGACGAGGGAGCTTCAAATATCAAATTTCAAATGTAACCTAGCAATACATATATAAACAGTGCATTTACAAGCTCCAGCTTTTCGCTGATTCCTTTAGCTGCTGCCACTTTGTCTTGAAGCTCATCGTGACTAGAAAGCATGTCAAACTGAAGGCCATCAACTATAGATTCGAACTCTTGAAGCAGGTTTTGCGCTTTCTGAAAAAAAAAACCAGTTCATCAAGAACACATGTACGCAATGCTCCCCACCGATTGAATCAAGTCCCTAGTGGCTTCACTTATCACATTGAGCTCGTTCAGTGCCATATCAACATACTGATATCCAAGTCCTGTTGCCTCCGAGACTACGTCTCTGGCGACCTGAAGATAGAGGTATGGCAAAAAATATCGTATAAAAGAACGAAACGAGATTAGTTCATTAAATCGGCTGATCAGTACGTATGGCTTGAGCAATACAAACAGATCCATGTGTTCTCAGCGACTCCACGACTCATGTATTATCGCTATACTGTAATACCGAATGGTCAAAAACATGTGAGGTCACACGAGGACTTTCGAAAATCTCATGGGTCTAAGAGTTGGAAACGAATGATGCCTACAACGACATTCTGTCTGTCAAAGCCCGATTTCCAAGCTTTTTGTCGATGAGCTTTTGCAGTTCATGGATTCTATAGTGAATGGTGTCCATGAATGATCAAACGAAAGAGAGAAGTGTTGAGTGTTTTCGAATGAGGCCCGCTTTTGAGATCAATCATAGCAGCTTATTTTATACACAAAGCATTCTTTTCGGATTTGGTTGAACGAAATCCAGATTTCGTCACATGTTACTATGGAGCTCAGAAAAGGCTCGTCCCTGTCACAAGGTAAAAGCGACACCCACACCTCTACCGCTGTCACATGTCGAGCAGTTAGTTCTTAGGGAACCTAGTGACGTTTCCTTTTATTTTTCCACAACGGTACACCTAGACTCCGGACTACAGTATAAAAATCTACCAGACGGATCGATGGGCTTTCCTAGATTCCGTGACAAAGCTGCCGCTCCGCCTGCATTCTGACAAAATTGGAAGTCCTGTTCAGGATGTGTGTTTGAATAAATTGGTTCACTATCCACCTAATCCTAATTGACTGGGCATTTTTCCTTAGATTATTCTCATTTCACCCACACTCCGCCGCCTTAACAGCTTCGGCATTATTGACAAAACTGCCGCTTTACAAACCTTAGCCTAAGTGCGAAGAATGCTTACAAAGTACATAATACAGCACAGCCATGCAAATGCACGCCATTTCAGACTTTGTTTTCAATTATTCAACGTAACCGACGGTTCCACCACTTCCTAACCATCGCGCTTAAATGAAACTGCCACGTCGCACTCCAATCATGCGCGAGTCGGAGTTAGGGCACGGCCGGGGAGCCGTGTCAGATCGACGAAATTAAGCAAAAGTTGGTAAAATGCCGAGCCCCCACCGCAGATTCAGAACTATACATTTAGTGGTTTCAACGGCATAAAGGACCAACAACCAAATATACTTTTAAAAATATCACAGCGAAGAGAAATGCAAAAAAGGACCAAACTCACAGTTACATCTTTCATTGTGAGAAAACGCTTCTCTTCAATATCATGACCGTTATGATTTCGGAGGCAACACATTGAACAAAGCTGACGCTACAAATGAACTTATAAGATGATACTCCATGATGAATATACATGCTTTCTGTTTGGTAACATATCCAGAACTAGCTAAATAAAACTTGTTCGTCTATCTCATACCACAGTTTCGCCGGTGCATGAACGACAGAGCAGATACACGCCTTTGCTTAGAACATCATCACATGCTAAACATTTTCGCAAGGGAGTACCATCTGGACTACATTGATCATTTGACAGATTGCTAGCTTCAGCGACGTGAGACAATAGCTCTGCAAAAAAATGAAACCAAAAATGAAGGCATCGTGAACAATTGCCTTCAAGAGGACCTGGAACAGGCTTCAAAACATAAGCACCTCTAACCAAGGGCATAACATCTAAAGGGGGCACTGATTGTGAGATGAAAGCGTACCTTGTAAACGATAGTTAACGGGGAGCCCCTCAGGCGGTACTCTGGTTGGCTGGCGACATTCTGGACATTTGATAATATTCTCAGCTGGACCGCTCCCACCGATTGCTCGGCGTGGGAAGAATGGAGGCTAGAGATACATGTCATTTGGCATGTCAGTAATATTAAAAAACAAAATGTGCTTACAATTTTCAGTCGTCAGTCAACCTGGTCAAAATTCACGTTTATGGTGTTAGAAGGCTTTAGTTAAACATCCTCCACGGTTAGGGATAATTTAATGAATGGATACGATGATATTCAACTACTTTAGCTCCAACTTTTCAAAACTAATAGGTGTAAGAGGAGCTACATTCAGCATAAACGTCAAACAATCATTCAGTACTTCTGAACTCGAGAGCCTATATCAATTAATCGAAAACCGAACAGCAAAGCTGTACCACAATTATATATCAAACCTTACCTCTTCATTGAAATTGCGTAGTACATAGCGTGGCGGATGGGGAATTCCCCCTAAGCCAGGAGGAGGCACTAATTGAGGACGATTGAGTGGCCACCACATATCTTGATCCATTCGATTCTGTACACAGGATTTCTCCAAATATACAATATGAAATCTTACATTGCTATTTTGCTTACAAAAGGCGGCTGATTTACTCCCTGATCGATGTTTGGAGCTGCAATTCCACGCATCGGTTCCGGAAAATTGTCATTTCTGTTGACTGCGCCGCGAGCATCAGCAATCTTGAAAAAAAAAACATTGAAGTATTGTTGATTGTAATACACAGAAATATGCTACTTTTTTGATCGTTTTTACTCCTGAATTCCAGCAAATACGAATGTAATCTCTCTTATTTTTTAAGCAGTAACTTGGTGTGTGGTTTTGGCGATTTGGGTGTTTGTCGGTGTGTCGGTTTGTCGGTCTTTCCGTCAGCAAAGCCTTATGATTACGATAAAGGTAGTGATAAGGAAAATCCATTTCTCACATTCCCTTGTTATATGTAGAGCAGTAATTTTAGTGGGTAGGTTAATGGAGGATAGTGAGTCTCCGGAGTGAAGTGAGTAATCGGGTGTTAGGCGGATACTTCAAAACTGTGATTTTTATCTCTTTTAGCACCTTGCAATTTATGTCTATACAAAAATCGGAGGTAATAATGTAATCAAGAGACCTCGGTTTTTTTTCAACACTGAGCGCTAGAGAGGTCAGCCCATAATTGTGCTCGGGAACGTTTTTTTGGCCGAGATCATACACCTTTTTGACCTGAGCTTCAGGATGGAAGGGACACCGGGGTGTGTGAACTGCCCTATTGTAAACTATCCAACTCACACCCCATCGTAGCTTCAAGGTCGGCTACACATCTTTCTTCGCACTGAAATCCTCAATCCTCATGTTGAATAGAAGCGAAGCCCCCCACCACTCACCGTAACTAAATATTTCATTTTCTAACTATCCTTTTAAACGAAGGAATGAGACCCGGCGGAAATCAGACGACCTGTCTGGGACAATATAGTAAAATAATGAATTCTAGCAATTTAGCAATGGAATCCTAGCACGTTCCCTCACCGAAAAAGATGTGTAGGGATTCAATTTCAAATATGAACCTGACGATGTGTGAAAGTCCTTGAGACAGTTGTCAAAGTCTCAGCGAAGGAAAAGCTAAACATTAAGAAAGATTGAGCTGCTAATACCAAGGTTTGCCATTAAAGCTTAACGCGAATTGATGTAGTAATGGTATTGCAAGACAAATGTCAACTCACGGTCATACCTCACTGAAACAGCCGATGTAACGGCAGTTAAGTTCAACAGAATTTTTTATCCCTATCCAGGGATTGCTTGCAACTTTTACGTACACCTTGGCGACTAAACCTCACTACTTCAAAAAGCCATGCCATTTATGCTGCTTTAACAGTCCTACTGCGTAAGCGACCTTAACTTCGAATGTAAAAAGATTTTACACAAGAACTTCATTGATAGATCCTACGATCATCACAGCGCTCACTGATGTTGTAGTTATGTTCTATATTTTCGTTTCAAACGTTTTATTGCACAACGATTCAATAAATAAGTAAATAATGACTTATAGTTAGGCTCGGTCGATGAAAACTTGGAAGTGTAAAAGAAATGAAAGTTGTAAAGAGTTCCAGTGAACGCTTCGAATTGGTGGGAAGAGTGACAATGGCAGCGCCTCGCTCATTTCGGCAGTGGACCACAGCCTCATAATTAACCACCTAACTTTCATAGTTGAATTCATACGCCATTACCTTAAGCTGAAGTCTCAAAAAGATTGATGGAGGCTGCTCGACACGAGAACGGCATTCATTTTCTTCTGGAACACCGATCTAGGGCACTTATGCCCACTAAACCAGGGCTTCCCTCGTCTTTTCCAAAACAACCGTCGCCAAGAGGAGTTTTTGCTATCACGCCGCTTGAGATGGCATACCCCTAGCCCTACTAGGCTCAAAACAAAGGAAAGAAATAACACAACATTACACAAAGCATCAAATCAACATACCAGCCTATCCACGCAATTCCCACAAAATGAGTGGCCACAGCTGAGTTGTAGAGGACGCTCGAATCGTAAGCAGCATATAGGGCACTCTGTTACGTCCTGCAGATCGGATCTGCGAGTATAGGAACGAATTGTAGTCATCCAATTCCCTAAATTCTAAGGTATGGTTGCTGCTGCTGATGAGACTTCACTGAAACGCACTTGACGATCCTTAGAACAAGCAATGATTGTGATTAAACACGAAATTTTCCTTGCCAACCGCCCGTTCAACTTATCCAGAGGGAATACCCTTTCAAAGGTTCAAGTGCAAATGAAAAAGGTCAAGCAGGGAGTACAGCTGAAAATCATTAGAGCGTCACACAGATATACCCACGAAAGTCAACATGAACAGCCGCGACTGGAGATGAGCTTCGTGGAAAGATTTGAGCTACAGAATAGTTCAAAGCGTACTTTCTGCCAATCAGCGCTGGAGGGAAGAGGGGAGGGATGTGGGGCAGGAATGTAAGCGAGAGAATGAGGTTGAGGAAGTTGAAGCTGCTGGTTACAATGACTTTCTGACACGATGAGCTCAAACCAGCATCTTGACCGGGAGAGGGAATGGGCGAAAAAGGTTTTTACACCCATTTTAATATCTTTTCATATTGATGCACTAACATAAGAAGTTATATATTAAGCAGTAACTTGGCTGCCAGTTAGCAGGATTGTTTATCTGTCTGTATGTTCGCAAAACTACGCATGGGTATTATAAGAGGGATTCACAAGGATGGTGAGTTTTAGGCAGAAGGAGGTCAAATCTAAAGATGTTTTACGGGTTCCATCCCGATCTTTTCACCAACAATATTTCTTCTTCCTCACTTTCTTGACGACCTTTTAGATTGGCTTTGTTCGGGTGGAATGCTGTCAACGGCGAGGGCAAACAAGGTGTTAACAACGTGAGGTGCAAAAGGGGTTTTCGGAGTTCAACGACGTGCACTGGCAATGCAGCAGTGCCAGATGTTGACAGCGCTAGACATCGTCTGTTGACAACGTTAGTCATTCGGCGGAAGGCTGTCGACGAAGACCGCGCCGCCTCCGACGGACCTTGCGCTAGAGCACGTTGATTTCCAGCCCATGAACAAATCGGTCAGCTGCGAAGCGGATGTCGTCAACAGCCTGCCGTTGAGTAAACAAAGAGGTCAAAAGGCGATGTCCAGCGCTTTTTGGCAACGCTGCGTTTTCAAGATTCGTCGATGGACTCTGAAAGTGCCCAGAGACACGATTTTCGTAGGAGTGCCTCAATCGAGTGCCCATAGGCCGCGTCAGCGTACTATAGTAGCCAAAGGAGAGAACATCAAATCATCACACTAACAAGAAGCTGGAAAAAGGTAGTACGACAACCTCGATCAATGAGCTATTCACCGCCGACCCGTGTGATATCGACGATCGGCGTTGTCAACATAGTGTCGGCGCTCAACGCTGAGTACTCAGCGCACAAGCTCAAAGCTCTACTCTGAAAGATGCCTAAGACACATGTACGAGTTTGAGTCATGTCAAAGATTAGCAGTTTTGCCAGTGAGTCAGCATACTTATAAGGCTCCTTATATCTTTGAGCCTTCCCGGTAAATCATGAGTGTACACCAGAAATAGAGGAAATGAACATAACCCCCCTCCCTGGGTACACACGTATCGGGGGAGAAAGAGTTCCCAACTTTGACGCGCATTGCCCTTTTCGATAAGTAAGAGCAGTTCACCGTAACAATGATGCTGCAATACCTAGCTGCTGCAGTTTTAATATCATTTTATGATGAACGACTTGATCAAACGCTTTTGACAAGTCGAAATAAATAACTTCCATTGAATTCCAACATTTACCGCCATAGTCCCGTCGAATAGGCAGTCAGTCAGATGGGTAATTCGAGGCTCCAGCCACAAAAACGTGCTACTCAATAGGAATCAAGTTTTTTTTTGTTAATCCATCCAATGATTTTATCACGGAAGGTCCTCTCTAGTACTTTAACCGAAGGTGGTACAATGCTAATAGGAGGAAAAGACGAAAGGAGAAACCAGTCGTTGTTCCCTGGAATAGCTTCCACAGCAAATGGAACAACAATAGATTCCTTTCACAACGAAGGAACTTTGGAGAACAGCAGCGAGGCATTGAAGATCATAGTTAGTGGTTCGTAAAGGAAGTAAACACATTTCTTGTAGACAATTTGTGCAGTTTCATCAAAAGTCGCGGCGGTCGATAAGTGATTTCATGATACTCAGCACGTCCCGCGGATAGACAAGGACGAATGCCATGCGCTCAGGACAGTCGCTAGACGCAGCAAGAATACTGTTCATTAGAGAATTTGAGACTGTTGTGAAAGCCGATGTGAAGTAACTACCCAACACCTCAGCCTTATTTTTATCCTCATTAAAAGAGTTATCGTCTTAAGACCAGCAGCTTCGCTCCAGCTTTCATTTTTCTGTATCAGGGAAAATAGTGCTTTTGGATTAGCCAGTGCTAGCCGAGCGTATACGAAAAGCGATAACATTGTGATCCGTTGAGGCGAAGGGCGGCTGTACAAAAACAACCTTTACAAGTCCAGTGGAGGCCAAGATAAGGTCCAGAATTGAATCACCACGAGTAGATTCTTTGAAGTGCTGAATAAGGACATAACAAATGAAAAGTTCAAGAAATCTCTTCGAGTAAGCATGCTTGGCAGCACCGGCTCTCCGATCAAAATCGAGATTAAAGTCACCCAGCAAAATCGGTGAGAAGAAGTAAAATCGAGTAATGCGTCAGTAAGTTGTTCGTCATCAGCCACCGAAGAGCCTGGAAGTCAACAATCTAACAATAAGATTAGTCTTACAGACTCAGAGAATGCGGAGTCAGTAACTTCAAAACTGAGAATGTCAGATTCATCATGGAAGCGGTACGAACAGGGCAAATATTCAACATATTGCGATAAACAAAACACACTCCCTTCTTTGGAGTACCTAGGATTCGGTCTGAACAAATTATATGGAAGAAGAGCAACAATTTCGGAATTGGTAACTTCAGAACACAACCACGTTTTTTTTATGAATAATATGTTCGGTTTCCCTGAACAAATTTTTGGTTGCTGGATTAGCTCCGCTAGCTGTCAAAATTCGATCGGTCCTCTTTCATCAGCCTCTATCCACTTTTCTTCGGATTCTAGAACATACATATACATATGTTAGATGTTCCGCCTACTGAGATTAGCCTCCGTCTACCGCTTAGGCTTCTTTCACTTCATCTGTCAACCCGTCCTTCTTTTTTGATAATTTTCCTTGCACTGGGCTGTTATGACACCAAATAAGGTAACTGTCCATGGCAGCGCTCGCAGTTTTCGTCCCCCTCCCTCTAGCGGGAGCTCGGCCCAGCTCACATGTGCTCTCTTGTTCATGTCCAACCTATCCGAAATTTGACCTGACCTCGCCAGGTGCTTCTTCAGGCAGTACATAATAATTTTTGTAACAGACGCGAGAGCGTCATAAATAGTACCAGTCGGATTGCTCGGCTAACCCTGAGCTTCCCTTCATCTCGTGTAAAATTGGCCTGCCACCCACGTTCCTTCCAAATTTGGACTGGAGAACAGGGTCATAAATTTCCGGCTAAACTCGCACACACATACCCCCGAAACTCCTCGAGGCGCCTAACCCGTCGTGAGCCCAGCTCGATTTATGCCTTAAGCAACTCTCAGCATCAGGGTCTTAATCCTGTCGCCTGCACCCTTCCAAATTTGGACGCCTCTGGATCACGGGAATAAGTGTTATAAAATTCTCTTCAAACGCACGCCTAGCCCCAGTCCTGTCACCTACCATCAGCATCGCCATACTGGCTTCCGCACCCCTACAAAACTCGAACGGTCTAGGTCCATTTTAAGAGCCTCCGAGGATGCCACACCCCCAGTGGGAGGAATCGCCTGTCATCAGCATTCCCCAGCTACCACTTGTACCCCCGATAAATTTGAACTCCCCAGATTAAAATAACAATTCTCGCGCCCGCCTCTTGTGGGGAGGGGGGGGGGGGGGGGGGGGTTCGGCTTTGCCACATATCTCAGCATTCTCATGTTGCCACCGTGCCACTACCAAATTTGAATGTCTCAGGTCCGATTTAATAATGTTCGCGCTTGCCGCGCCCCCTGTGGGCGGAGTCCGGACCCGCCGCCTTCCGTCGGTGTTCCCATCCTGTACTTCTGAATTTGAACGCTCTAGGTCCACGGTAACAGAATTAATGAGTTTCCGGTCACGGACACACGCCGACGCACTCCCCGACAAACTTATGGTTACGCATATAGAGTAGGATAAGGATATCTTCTACAGGGCTTCTATTTTCATTGCTACATTCCTTGCCAGATTTATGCCCTATTTGGTCTTTTTGTTGGCTTTTCTTCATTTGCTCGTGCAAATACTGGACCTAGTGCGCTTCAAGGTACGCCTCTATGACCAGACAATCTTCGAGAAGGATGTGCGTTATTAGTTTCAGAGTAAATCTTGCACCTTTATATAGAATTGTTATTCGTGCTATTTTTAAACCTGCCCAATTCGTGATATACACAATTCGTGATGTACAATGTACCTTGTTTTATAAAACATGACAATTGGATCTATGTTGAACTGGTTTCAGCGCGATCGTCAACCTAACGGGCCGAAACGAGCGGTAACAAAAATTGAAATTGTAGTTGGAGTGGGGGGGGGGGGCAACGCTCTTTTGAATCACAGACGACCAGAGCGCAGAGAAGGAAGAGCAGCCGAGCCCGTATTTGGGCTTAGGAACGATTAACAGCTATTTATTATTACAACTGTGTGTTTTTACCTAACTTTAGGAAGGGGAAGAGCTTCGGGGTGGGAGAGCCAAATGGACGTTCATTTTTAATCACATCTCAGCTTTTGCACGAGATAACAATCTCATCTGCCCAGGAGCCCCTTCCCTTCCTGGAGGTGAAAGCAATATTTTTCAGCTAAAAAGCTTCTCTGTGAACAAGTGAAATCGGCTGCCCCTCCTTCTCTAGTCGTCAGTGATTCAAGAGGGCGTTCCCGATCCCCCACCCCCAACTACATTTTCATCCAAAATGCAGCATTACGAAGATATTAAAAATCCTACTCCCATACATTCTCATCACGGAGGAATCCCAAGTCAGATAGCCATCGACTTCATGTTGTTAGTTATGCTCTTATACTGCATAAATTTGCGTTTATTAAATTTGTAGCATTGTTTTTGTTGTACGGGCGATAACTCATTCGTTGCGGAGGATAGTATTATCGAATGATAAGTGTTTGGGAGTTTGTGATGATCGTATGATAACTTGTATGACTGCGATAGGGGCGTTGTATTTTATTAACTTACTTAAGAATAAATTCACCATGTTAACTGTACACAGTAACATATGTATACACATATCTTATATATATATCCTACTTATAATCGGCTAAGTGTGTCTTTTGATGTGTTTGTGTGTGTTTGTGTGTGTGTGAGTATGTGTGTGTATTTGTCCGACCAGAACTTCATAGCTCCCGTCAAAAAGTAGCTAAAGCAGTCAAATTTGAAAGAGAGCGATGTGTAGAATGCGGGGCCTTGTACTTCCGTTGCGAGGTCAGAGCGAGCCACCCAGGCAAGTTCCGCGAGTGCTGCGACTTAGGAACATTCACCTCGAACTTTTCCGAGTCTTTTCCTGAGGAGTTGCGCAGGCTCTTTGTGCGTGGACCGCATTCAATTGTGGAATTCTGGAGAACTCAAAAGAATTTCTTGGAAAACATAAGAAACTTCAACTCTGGCGCCCTGGCGATGGCTTCAATGAGTGCGCGGGTCGAGGCGTTACAAGGATGGGGACCCTACTGTTATAGAATTCACGGGCAGGTTTATCATAGGCTGGGACCTCTCCACCCAAGAGATGGAGAACCGCGCCAATACGGATATATATATATACATATATATTAGATACGGAGCTAGCTGCCCAGGAGCGTCTCGGAGACGTAACAAGCTATGAGTGCGAACCGGGGCTCATGCGCTTCCTAAGTGGTCCACTAGCCAGTGTCAACATTTACGCCCAGTCTTATAAGATGATATACGAAGTAGAGCAGACGGAAGTCGCCATGGCTGCTTACGAAAACCGTGCGCGACTTATCCACTTTTGTTTCCTACTGGTGAAGGTGGTTGGGAACATAGCTTGAGAAACAGGGAAGGGACACGCATCACGCACAAAAAAGAATACAACGCGTATTTGTTCTCAATACGGGATTCTTCCAATCCAATTAAATACGCTGGAAAGCCATGTCAACAGTTCGCAGTCGATCCGTACGTGAAAATTGAACAGGATCGCCTCAATTTTCAAAAAGTAAACCAACTTATTCTTCGCCGAGAAACCTTCAGAGGTTTACAAGACCGCCTAGCCGAGACCGATAACTCTGGACCACCTGGGAGTCGCGTCGTATTGTCCTGATCACATGCGGTCAGTCCACGAGCGATGCAACAGGCGTACCAGGACACTACGACCACGATACAGCAGACCGACGTTCTTCTTAACGATGACGTGTAATCCACGGTGGAAAGAGCTACGGGAGAACCTCTATTGTGGTCAGTCGCCATCGGATTGTCCCGATTCAATAGCGCGCGTATTTGGTGCAAAGTTGCAGGAACGTTGCACCGACCTGTTCAAAAAGAACATCCTAGGTGAAGTGGAAGCATA